GAGTTCCTGGACTTTATACTTTGTGAGGGAACCATTTTGGTGGTTAACAAAAGGTCCAATCCAATCGATTTGGAAGCGAGTGCTGGGATACAGGCCAACCCAGCTTGCGGGCACACTGGGTCAAAGGTTTCGCCAGCAGACTCCTTGACCCCCCTGAAGGTAAAACCAAGCGTAGGGCGTAAATACGGTGTACATGAAGGGCTGAGGGTGTGCGGTTGGGGGGGGGGGTAGGATGGGGTGGGGCGGCGGTGGCGGCGGGGGTGCGGGTGGGGGTGGGGGTAGGGGTGGGGGTAGGGGGCGCAAGTGCGAGGTGACAAGTCTTTCGTAAAGTGGCCGGGCCAGGCAGAAAGTGGACGGCTTCCGCGAGTGCTTCTGCGACTCTCGGAGGTTTCCACCCCAGCGCCTGCCGCCCTGCGCTGGGACCCCAGCGGAGAGTCGTGGGGCGCTGGGACCTATGATCTTTTTACACGGATGGCTTGGTGCTAAATGACTTGTTTTCTGGGCCTGCGGCCTCTAGCCGGCTACGCCTCTTTGAAGTTATACCATGTCATGTCATGTTTTTTGTATGACTGAGAAACGTATCCTGCGCTATGATGTGGTTGGTTAGGTTATGCATGTCGCGCACCCCAACCCCCGATGATGTCGGGGATGCCAGCTTTCTGGGCCCCAGCTGGGCCCCAACCCAGAAGGCTGACATGGGGTGGCACGCGCGCGCGCCAGAGGCCCCAAAAAGAGCAGCCCAAAAAGAACAGCCCGCAAGCCATCCCGGAAACGCAAATACAACAAAACACCGTAAATAGCAGCGTTTTGTGGCTGGGGCCGCGCGCGCGCGCCAGAAGGCCCGAAAACCAACGGGAAAAAAGCAAGGACCGCGCAGCGCGCGAGCCCACAGCAAAAGCAAAACGGACAGAACAACAGCCCAACGCTCAGCACAGCAGTTTTTGACGGTATTTACAGCATTTTGTAGAGCGAGGGCCCAGCATCGCTGGCATGCCCGGCAGCGCTTGGCGCCAAAATGCGCAAAAATGAGCCTCGCTTATATCCCTCCGGTACCTTGTAAAAAGCAGTGCTTCATGGGTTGAGAGGCTGTTTGGAAGGAAGTCTTGATGACGCAGACCAAGCCCGCTGAAGCATCACCCAGGCCCAACCCCAGACCCTGATGACAGCCACATGGCCTAAACCCTGGATACACGCGATGTTTTGCGAGGGTTTCCCACAGGCAAGCAAAACCGCAAGCCCGAGCTGGTGATGCAGAGGTGCCGGATTTAGGCAACGCATCACGACCAAGTGACGAGGGTCGGCGGCACACGGGTGCAGCCCCTATAGCTGAAGCTAGCAGGCAAATTGCCTAGCGGCGACATGCTATCCCAGGAGGCGTAGCCGGATCTACGGGCTGCCGCCCTGTGCCGCCGCCCGCGGCTTGCTTATCGCAATTATGACTAATCGATTTTTGTCGGGTTTAACGGCACACTTACAGCATATATGAAGTCATGATGATAACTGTTACTTTGCATTTTTTGCATCACCAGCAGTTGTTATGAGAATTATGACGACGCATGCCCTGCATCACAAACAAGCTACCCCAGGATTAATTCGCATGACAATGAGCACCTTGTTGATAATCATCACTATGCATCCCCAGCATCACCAGCAGTTATTACGACAATCGTGACTACGCATCCTTTGCATTTCCAGTCGGGTCTAGCGGCACACTTGAAACGTATATGAAAAAGAAGAGCGCCACGATAATGCTGATGATCATCACCATGCATCCGCAGCATCGCCAGCAGTCATGATGATAATCGTCACCTTGCATCCACTGCATGTCAAGTCGGGTCATCATAATGATGATGATGATCCAGATGATAATCATCACGACGCATCACCAGCAGTTATAATGACAATCATGACTACGCATCCTCTGCATTTTCTAGTCGGGTTATGAAAAAGCAGAGTGCCACGATAATGATGACGATCTTGATGATGCAAATCATCAATGATGCTGATAGTCATCACTATGCATCCGCAGCATCGCCAGCAGTCATGAAATCCTCAAGTCGGGTTACGATGATGATGACGATGACGATGATCCTGATTAAAATCACCACGCATCCCCAGCATCACCAGCAGTTACCGTGACGACATCCTGATGATAATCATCACTGTGCCTCCCCAGCATATGAGCTCTGCATCACCTGCATTCCAAGTCGGGTCTTACGGCACACTTGAAACGTATATGAAACACAAGAATGATGATGATCCGGGTGCTGCGAACCATCACCCAACATCAGTGGTGATGATAATCATCACAAAGACAAGGATGAATACAAACGCTTCCCACGCGCGTCCCCTTTGGAGAAAGGGGTCGGCGGATATCTGGATTGTTATGCTTGTGTTTGTGGATTGTTTGTTGTTTTGAAAAAGAACAGCATAGCCGGCAGGGAGCACAACAGCTCTGAAACCTTTCCTGAACCAGCCCCGACCCTACCTCTCGCGGAAATTCCAAACGCGAGTGGGACCCTCAAAGCCAGCAAGACGCTTGTAGGCATGTCTCCTTCAAAATCACATGTTTGATATTTGTTCTGCAGGAGCGTCATGTGTTTGCTGTGGCTGCTGGGCCTGTGTGTGTGATTGTTTCTAGGGGTCAATCATCAACGTCAGAGACAGGGGCCTCTGTCTTCAGCATACCACTTGGGATGGCCGCAAGTAGTGAAATCTCTGAGCTGGATTTGTTTTTCCCTGGAACGCAACAGCAAAAGTCCTCGTAAGGGCATTTGGTTGTTTTTTCAGAATTTACGATTGAATGGGGGCTTTTGCGGGCATTTGCATATTTTTTGGCAGGCTCGGGGATGACGAGTGTGGGGGTTGTGCAGTCGAGGGTTGTGCGAGAACTGGCGTTGGTGGGAGCTGGAGGTCTGAGCCCTCCATTCTCTCTTGAAAAAGCAGACCGGGAGCTAGCCTCAAACCACCAAGCCCCAAACCACCAAGCCAAACGACAAGGGTATGGTGAGTTGAGCTATTCGAGCAACTTGTGGGCCATTCAGGTAGGAAGTATGGCTATTGGGTGCACGCAGTAGTGGATCGCTGTTCATTGGCCTCTAAGGAATGCGGTGCGGAGTGCAAGTGCGAAGCTGGCAAGTACTTGCCACCCTGGTCACAGAGGGGCAAGAACTGCATGTGCAGGAAGGTGCAGGGTGCTGTCTACAACAAGGAAGTCTACCTGGCCTTGAACAGTCGGGGCGGGGCCTTGTGGGAGCGACTGGAGCAACAGACAGCCCAAGATACCCGCAACAATGCGGGAGTTGACAAGATGCAAAAGTCCTGAAAACGGGAGATGTCTCCCGACCCCGGACTGCCACTTTGATCCTGGATGCGGCCATTCTAAACAGAAGCTTGCAATGGGGGAAGGCATTGCATGGGGTTGCAGCAGCTTAGGTAGCTTTCGCAGAAAGCCACAGAAAGGTGTGGTCACTATTTTGTGGCAAGCAGAAAACCTGCTTGTCGTCAGTTTGGCAGGTTGGGAGGTGGCACTTGCGTCCTGTGCCAGAAACAACATGATGGGTTGCCGGGGGCGGTTGGCCCGGGACGATGGCGAGTTGAAAGTGCATCGCATTGAACAGGTGCTCAAATGTGCCACGAATCACTGCATTTTCAAGCATGCCTCCCAGGAATGTCGCTTACCAAACCCTGCAACTTCGCGTACCCGAGATAACAACTGGAGTACGCTGCCGTGACAGTTCCACGTTTTTTTAATCAGCGGACGTATATATATATATATGTATATATGTATGTATATATAAATAGATATATATATACATATGTATATGTATGTATATATAAATAGATATATATATATATAAATAAACATATATATATATAAAGACATATATATATATATATAAATCGGTGTGTATATATATATATATATATATACGTACATGCCTCCGTGTTTTGCTTTGATTGGGTGGGTTTCCGACAAGCCCCAAAGCACTGTCAACCTAAACACCACAAGGATGAGTCCTGAGCCTACCACAGAAAACAAGTCCAGGTGGAGGCCCAACGTTCCTTTCGAAGTCTAGCCTGGGAATCTGCAGCATGACTTCTCGAACTGCCGCCCCGGTCGGGTCCGGGTTGATCGCGTTGCAGCAAATCTCGTGTAGAGCATCCACATACCGCACATCTTCATGCCACCACTTTCGCAAGAACGGAATGGGCGATACCTTCGCCAAACGAAGTAGTATGACCAAAGCTAAACCTGCAGACTCCATCTGCCTGAGCACTCAAGAAGGTGCGAGCACGTTACAAAGCAATCCTGCATTACATCACCCCGGCCGAACATGAACGCTATCGTCCCCACCCCACCCCACCCCAAGAGCAGTCACCTCTCATCTCATGAGCGCTATCATCCCCACCCCACCCCACCCCACCCCACCCCACCCCACCCCACCCCACCCCAAAGAGCGGTCACCTGTCATCTCATGAACGCTATCGTCCCCACCCCACCCCACCCCACCCCACCCCAAAGAGCGGTCGCCTCTCCTCTCATGAACGCTATCATCCCCACCCCACCCCACCCCACCCCACCCCAAAGAGCGGTCGCCTCTCCTCTCATGAACGCTATCATCCCCACCCCACCCCACCCCACCCCACCCCACCCCACCCCACCCCAAAGAGCGGTCACCTCTCATCTCATGAACGCTATCATCCCCACCTAACCCACCCCACCCCAAAAAGCGGTCACCTCTCATCTCATGAACGCTATCATCCCCACCCCACCCCACCCCACCCCACCCCACCCCACCCCACCCCACCCCGGGCCAACCCCCCCCGTCAACCCAACATGATGTTTCTGTGTATCATCCTAGTATATATATAACTATGTATGCACATTATGATTATACACAAATCAATCGCATGAATGGAACGAAAACAAGCGGTCAATGCGACTTTGTCCTTTGGTTTTTCTTTGGGGGCTCCATGTGAATGCCAGAGATTTCATGATCACGGGAGTGCCGTGGCCGCCCCAACCGCTGCTGTAGATGTCGCCTTGGCCGCAACGGCGGCTGAAGGGCTGATTGGATCCTTGCACGTGATAGAAAAGATGCACGCATTCACGCATTCACGCTGGGCGCTTTTGTTCAGCAAACCTCTCTTGGCATGGGTTTAACCTCACTTATGCCGGCTGCTACATTGCATGGGGTCACTCAGTTTGGTTTGGCTGACATGTCTTGGTTCGCCTAGAGTTTGTTGGCTAGCTCCCCAGTAGGGCCCTTTTACCCCTGCTAAAATAGACTACAGAAAAAAAAAGGTGCCCTTATTCTACCCTCTCTACTGGAGGACCTAGTAGAGTTTGTTGAGCCTATTTGCGTTTTTCCGTTGTGAAAGTTAGATGTGATTGTCCCCCTTCAACCCACCACTTGGGGTCTGAATGGGGCACGTTAAAGCAACGGGGTGTGGCTCGTGCACTGACAGGGCGGAGAGGCATTTCCCATCCCCTTGCGTTTTTAGAATATTATGTTTTTTAGGTTTAGTGGGAGTTTCCATCGCACCATATTGACCCATAAAAGGATACAGTCACTTTTTCCAGGGATCTGAGAACGGACGGCCCAAGTGAGACTTGGATCCACCCAAATGGGTTTCCACCCACGTACAGGTTCCTGCGCAACGTCCATTGGAGAAATCTTCTTGGGCCTTTTCCATTAAGGGCTAGCTGGGTTCCCCATGAGCGCAATTAAAACCATATCAACCCACTGCCCTACCTGTAGCGGACGAATGGACCTGAAAATGAGCCATGAGTTCCCAAGATTCTGAACAAACAACTGGAGAACCACAAGGTCTGATCCGGTCCATTTGCAGAACTCGGCTGAAATGTAGCACGATCGAAGTTGTGCCTCTCAGCATTGTTTTTCCTTCAACACCTTTGGAAAAGTAGCAATCTAATCGACAACTCATCTTTTTGATTTCCCCTTGGTCCGTTCCAAACGTGTCTTTGTTGTTTTTTGTTTCTTCCGTTGGGCAAGAGAGCTCAATGTTTTGTTCGCTTCAGCCGGATCTCCAGGTACAGCGCTGCCATCAGCGCCTGCGAGAAGCGTGGGGAGTGGCGCGTTGCCCTGCAGCTTCTGGAGGCATTTCGGTTGCAGGGGCCTGGCTGATACCTTCAACCTAACCCTTTGGCAAACGGGCAGCTTGATCAGTTGGCAGGTGTTCTCATCATTTTCAGGGCCAACAGTGTGTGTGTGTATATATATATATATGTATACATATGTATGTGGGGGGGGACGTGCATGTGTTTTTTGGCAGGTTTTTGCAGAATTTCCAGGGACAAACACGTTGACATTTTTTGGACCAGTCAACTTAGCGAGCAAAGGGGAAAACATGTTTTGTCTAATATTGTGGAACTGCCGTTCTTCAGAGTCAGTACTTGAGAATTCGTCAACATTTCAAGCTGTTTGTGGTCCGTTGGAGAGGGGCATGGAGGATGGACTCTCTGATTTTAGCATGTCCATCGCAGGCAATCACAGCTTTGGATGGCCAAGATCCCCATGATTCACCAACGAAGGACCCAGTCCCTTGCCTGAAGCCACGAACCTAGACACTCGCGGAAGTACTCCTTACATCTAGGAAGCTCCAGGAGGTTTGTCTATGATGCCTACCAGCGCTTGTTACGTGTCTTCAGCCCTGTTTGACAGACCACAGGTCTGGCTTGCTTGTTTTGCCCCATATTTTTTGATTGTTTTTTGGGGGGGGGCTGTGCGCACTGGCCGAGAAACGCCAGCGCATGCAAAAGCTGATGGAAGGAAACACACGCAACAACTGTTAAATACAGACGAAAGCACTTCTTCGTTCTTGCTACGCTATTGGTTTGCTTGCTTTTCCGGCCCTGTTCATTCTGCGGGCTAAGATCAAATATGTTTGTTACACCGCAGATTGTGGGTGTTTCCCCTTCCCTATCCTAGAGGATTTGGCTCCTTCTCAAAATCCTCGTTGACATGGTTGTCGTTGGGAAACATTTTACATGCTTAGTGTGGTTTAGTGGGAAATCCCCACGTAACTGCTAAGATTTATTTTTGTTGCTCCCCTTCCAACATCAGCTAAGCTTTCGCCACGGACTTCCTGAGTTCCTTCGCTCGTTCGGATGCTCCTTCTCTCGCCCGGGCGGACAGGAGATGCTGACGCGGCAGCTCCGCGCCGACGTCATCGCCTGCAGCGCGGTCTTTCGGCTCGGAAAATCTGGGTTGCCGCGCGGAGTCAATGGAAGAATATGGGTTAATGTTAGCCCCGGATTAATAAACCCCTGGTTGATTTTGATTGGGGGGTGTCCCCTTTTAGTGGGGACGGGTTTATTAATCCTGCAACATTGCGGCATCAGCGGAAGGGAAACCAGCCAGAGCGTCATCTTCATTTTTTTCTTGCCTCTTCAAAGGTCTCTAGCAGTGGTGCGGATGCATTTTTTCCTCATTCCACCTCGGGTTTTCTTTAAGGTAGGCAGGTTCTCTTAATGTATCGCGCGACTTGGAGCAGATTAGGCCTTTCAGATTAAAGAATGATTGACCGATGTTCAGTCATTGAGGAGGGACAAAAGCGGGGGCCCCCCTACCAGAAAGGTTCAATCTGCACCCTTTCCATCAGAGATTCCTTTGAGGAATCTTTCCTGCACTGCAAAATGTTGGGGCATTTGTTTGGCTCCCCTCTCTTGTTTAGAGCGGGGTGAGTTTCTTTGGGGGCAGGTTGGGGTTACATTTTGCTACCAGGTTCTCAGATATCCCTTAGTTGGAGGGGTTGGGGATACATTTTGCTACCAGATTCTCATAGATCCCTTTGGAGGTTGGCTTGGTGGTTTGGGATTTGCAGCCCTTCTTGTCCCTAACCAAACCAGGCCGGAGGGCAGCTGAGCTTCTATGGCAGTCGCCGCGTGCCGACTTTGCCTCTTTCGGCGTCCATTGAAAGAGGCGACCTAAGGGATGTGAGGCCATCGGGCCCCATATGTTGGTCCCCGTTCTTCTGTGGATACCCCGCTTTTTCGCGGCTTTGAGGATCTTTAAAGGGAAACCATTGGCAAACCACCAGTTTGCGGGGGTCCCCTAAAAATTGGACACGCCCAGATAGCGAAGCCGGACATTCGGTTGGTGAAAGAGGATAATTCACCTGGAGATTCCCAGTGTGAGTTGAGGTAATCAGTGCCTGTGAAAAGCGCTCGCACTGGCAGCAAGCAGTCTTCCTGCTGCAGGAGATGATTGAGAGTCGTTTGCAGGCGCGATGTTCGGCAAGTTCAATTTCATCACTTGTTTATGTACTATCTATGAATTCAGCTTTCTGGGGGTGTTCCGCAGAAAAGAGCCCTTGGCTGTCCCAGTGGATTTTCGAGTCGGTTTACGAAGATCTGTTGCATTGGGGACACAAACGCAGACAGTTTGAAACTAATCCACCTGCAAAGTAAGAGTCATATGGAAGGCGCGGTGCGGGGGCACCATTTCGCCGAGTTGGAAAGATGGCGATGTGGCAACAAATCACGGCAGCAAAGCAGCTTTTGAGCCCAGTCAGCAACCAACATTTCCACAACTGCTAGGCGACTCGCCCTTATTGCTTTGGGATTTCGGCTCTCTGGTTTACATCAAGTCATGGCAACCCGAAAGGTGATGCTTGGGCAACGGAATCATTGAAGACTGTGCATTTGTTACGCGAGCTTCATGAAAGATAGATGTTTGGCCAATGTTTGCAGTGACAGGTGATCCGTATGACTCAGTGACCCGATTGCTTCACGATTGTTTGGCAAGGCATGGTCGTCCCCCCAAATGGACATGAGGCTGCAACATGCCGCTTGCCTCCGCTCTTTCTACGGTTGATGCATCCGGCCCCAAACCTCTGGCTCACATGTTGTTCGACCGCAAAACGGTGGTCCCAACAGGCGGGGTCTTCATTTTAACCTCTGGCCTAGCAAGCAATTATCTTTAGACTGCTATTGGGTTGGACCTTTAGACTTCAACTTTTTGGGGAATCAAGGGGTTTTCCACTAAACCCCCAAACAGTGAAGAACTTTTTGCAGGGGGGTCAACAGCAACCAACTCATGGGGAAACCCCTCCACCCTCGCGGCGCGGCGGCAGACGGATGTGGTCAGCTTCAATGCCGCCATCAGCGCTTGTGAAAAGGCGCGGCCGGAGTCGCCATGTGAGTTGAGGGAGCCTTGGGCGGTGTCCCCGTGGGTTTCCATTCAAAAACAGCCCCCAGTGGTTTGAAGGGAATACCTGGGGTTGGCATGGTTCTGGCTGTAAATGAATCCGACATCGACCGGGGTTTGAACATCAGAGTGAAGCTTTCCGGGGTCCATGTCTTCTTCTCCGGTTGAAGAACTTGGCCAGGTGTGTGTTTCAGAATGGGTGGTCTTCGGGTGCCCTGTTGGGGACCCTTTAAAAGGCTGGGGTCCTCTGTGAGACGTCCCCTTTGAGAGAAGCACAAGGGGAACCCAACGTTGGGTTTCTCCGATATGGTGATCACGCCGTGAATTGATCAAGCAAACTACATTCTGCTCACTGCTTCTAGAAAAATGGTCGCGATTGATGAACATTTCCTGGTCGAGCAGCAGTGAATTTGTTCGCAAGTGGAAGTCTGAGGAATGGCTCAGGTCTTTTTCCCTCGGGTGTGCAATACAGACATACTCATTGTTGTCACGCTGTTTGAACAGCAGCTAGTCATTGCATTCGGTGGGGTTCCGTTTCACCAGCGTTCAAAGTGGAACTCGGAGAGGGAATGCCCTTAAACCGAGGGAATGCCCATTAAAGGCTCCTCAATTCAAGCGAATACCCAATTGGCGTTTGTTTTTTACTGGGGTCATTATTTTGGTTTCTGGGGGTCAAAGTGAGAAATTGGAGTTCTTGTCCTTTTAACCCACCACGTAGAGGGTGACTTTGAGCATGGTATTACCGGCACACTTTTCGGGGCTTTCCAACGAGGCTACCAAAAGGGCACCAGCATTTCAGAGCGGCCCATCTGAACTCTTTTAGTGGCTTGCGTTTGGGTTGCATTTTGCACAACCCAATGGACACCGATGGACACTTTAACTTTGGGTGCCAAATAGCTGGTAATTTTCAGCTGCCGCTACAGGAAAAACAAAAGGGGATGGATATATATTTGCTTACCTTTTTTGCAGGCCCCCAGTGAATCTAGCTGATTTGGAGGATGCGATTTGGGGAAACCCCCGTTTCACTGGACCAAGGTTCACTTACCATCTTGCGGCCTGGTTTGTACATATGGCGGTAGAATCGATGTCTTGGCTCGGTTTTGGGTTGCATGTTGTGGGCATAGGTTGGCATAGGAAACCCAAAGGCTCGCTTGGGGAATCAGCGTTGTGCTTCTTGTTCGGGAATTCTCGGGACTTGTTTTCACGAGCCGCTAGACTTAAGTTCTGGTATTCCTTTGTTGGTTTAGATTAGTGGTTCGGGATTTGAACCTGGCTTTTGCAGAGGGTGCACGGGAAGCCCCTCCTTAACCACCAAACCACCGAAACCTCCAATCCACCAATTCATGAAGTTGTGGGAAGCTGATAAGTTTTTCCGGCAAACATGGGTTTTAGTGCCACTTGAAGCTGGACAGGTAGCTTTTTCCTTGGAGCACCAGACCGATTTGTGGGGAACTGGCCTAGGCTTAATGCGCCATACGTGGCATGTCAAGCCTTGGGCGAGGCTGCGTGGCCTTTGGCGCTGCAACTCTTCGCTGCGATGCCGCGATGCCGGCTTTTGGCCGAGGCCGTCGATCCGAAATGGATCCAGCGAGTCGGTCCGGCTTTAGGCTGGAGCCTGGATTTCAGTTTAAACCTATTTTGGCCGGTGAGGAAGAGTTAGATTGTTGTGTTTTTGTAGGAACGTGGCATATTTCTCCTGTTTAGCATCCTCATTTTTGGGCCGATTCCGAGTCTGACTTGCTCTTTGGGGTCCAAACAAAAAGTCTCAGGTGCTTGGACGGGGTCTTTAGTTTCTCCCGTACTAAGTAATTTATGAAGGTGATGGCCACAGAACCGCGCAAACGCGGATCAGGGAGGTTTCCAAACAAATTGGGCCACCCCATGTTCGTTGTGGCAAATTGCATGTTTAAGATATGTTGTTTGTGGTACGAAGGGAATATTAGGTAAAGTGTCTCAAACACTGTGCCCTGCATTGTCCACCTGTGAGCATGGCCCACAAAAGGCACCTCCGAAGGAGAGGACATGTTTTACCTACTTTGCTAAATCAGTAGAAGGCGTGTTGACCAACCAAATAAACACACTATTCTACTATCATCATGGGAGGACAGTGTCTGCCATCTTTTAGCCCCTCAAACCCTCGTGAGAAAAGATTTCCCTCCAAGTCCCCACAGAGGGTTGTTACTTAAAGCAAGCCAGCTCGTTTTGCTCATTTGGCCACGTCTCCGCTTGGGCACTCGTTAGGGGGCTCCTGTTTGCCCCCCTTTCGGCCGTTTTCAGCTGAGCCACAGTCAAAACCTGGGTAGATGAAGGTTAGTAAGGGACAATCCCAACCATAAATAGCTGCGGCTATCCGCCTTCTTAATCCCTTACATGATTCTGGGGATCGACCATTTGAGTACCGGGCTTTGCAGACCACTGGGTCAAAGGGATGCCACGGGGGGGACTGGAGAAATTACGAACAATTGTGCTCACTTCACGAATTCCCATCTGGGTGTGGCTCAAAATTAAACAGCAGGGGTTACGCAGGTTTTAGTCTTTGGTTCCATTTACCAAGGTGCCATTTTGGCACATCTTTCTGAGCCACAGCTATGTCACTTGATTGTGACGTTTTCAGCTCGAGGAGCTCGCGCCGAGCGCCGAGGTGATGTCCTTCTCCTCCGCCATCAGCGCCTGTGACAAGGCGAAGCGCTGGGTGGATGCTTTGGGCCTGCTGGAGGCCTGCGAGCGGCCGAACCTGGTCAGCCGCCTGATGGAACTCGCGGTTTTTTTCTTTTTGTTTAAATCAGTCCTCCTTCTGGGTGGTTTTCAGTTTTTGTTCTTCTCTTTTTTAAGTTTGGTCCTCCTTCTGGGTGGTTTTCAGCCTCCTTTTTCGGTTTTCAGGGGAAGTCTTTTTTGGGAACTCAACCTAGACACCACAAGGCTCTTGGATCGATTCTTTGTCCACGTAGCCAATGAGTGGCTTCCGGGTCCTGCGCACGCCGTGCTCGGTTCCTGGGCAGAGGGCATCAGGTTTCCTCCCAAGAAATCCTCGAAGATGTTTGCCATGGTCGCGGGAAATGCAACCCGCTTAAAAGATTGGTAATTGAGTGGGGCAAGTTTCCTCACAACCATGGCTGTAACCTAAGGGGTCAGGGTTGCCTCAGTTTGCTGCCTGTTTCTGGAACTTGTGAAACTCGACGAAATTCGATCCCACCGGATTTGTGGTTTGTCACCCCTGTTTTGGGTTTGCCGACACCCATTGGAGGTGAAGGATCTCTGCATGTTGATTCTTCTTTTCGGAAAACGAAGGGGTGGGGTCTTCACAAAAGGCAGAAGTCATTCGAGGGGAGGAGATTATGTTGGCCAGTGGCCATCCAGAACAGGACCTCTTTTGGCTGGTGATTCTTCAACCAAGGAGAACATCACCCGCTACCCTCTGGTCTTCGTTGGCCAAATACAACCTTTCCATATTGACATTGCCATCGTTTCTGCGCGCAAGGTGTCCTTAATGCATGCCGGAGACACCACCCAATACACAAACCATGTGTTGTGCAGCACGGGTAGCTCACCTGCGGGTAAAACGAGTAAAACGAGGAAGCTTCCTTGTTTAGGATCTTAGGTATAGATTGGCGGGTTGTAGCGATTATAGTGCTTGCTTGGCCGCCTCTGTTTGGTTATGCGCGGGGTTATATACCCAGAGCCTCGCCACCAGTGGTGCACATGTGCTGCCGGCCACTGCCTGCTCCGAGGCTACAACGCGGCGCTGGCTGCCTGCGTGGCTTGGCGTATTGGGGAGGGCAGATTTTAAGGAGAGAGAGTTGGAGCCAACACCAGAAAGTCTGTTTCAGAACCCTTGTTTGAACCTAAAATGTAATCAATCCTGCGGTGCGTAAACATGAAGGTGCGTGTTCAGAACCCACTTGTGAGCCTATCTCGGCTTCAGCCCAAAGAGGCTTCGAGCTCGCAGGGAGCCCAAAACCCAAACCTGGGAAAGCAGTGCGTGCGTGAGAGTTTAATTACCCGGGATCCTGACCTACTAGCGCTGTCCCTTTTCAGAACCACCCAAGAGAAAAGAGCGCAATATATTTGTCCGTGAATCCAACAAAAAAGACCCTCTCGGGCTAAGGTGGCAGTTTCCTTTAAGTTGCTGTTCAAGCTCAGCGAAACCTCGAGACCTCTTCCGTCCATCCAAGTGACGTCCTCAACGCTACCTGGACTTTCAATGGCGGAAGCCCCCCAATGGGTTTTCCTGGGAACCCAGAACCATCAACCTTGCTTGTAAAAGAGCGCACAAAACCTCAGGAAACTTGTGAGAACCTTTGTTTCTTTTTTGCAAAACCATGAAAAGACAATATCATAATCTCCAAAATGACAAGGTTGAACGAACTTTATGGCTTCAACTCATCTATTTGCAAGCCAACCCCCTACCCCAAAAGATCGTCACGTCGAGTCCGATTTTCTCAGGCAGGCCAATGGCAGCACGCCGTGAGCCGGCTTTTGCGCCTGCAAGCAGACGGTTTCCAGGGAGATATGATCACCTTGGACCTCCTTTGTGGCGCCGGAACTGCAAGCCATGGGGCTCGGGGGGGGGGGCGGGGGAGGAAGGGAGGGAGGGGCGGGGGGAGGGGGGAAGGAGGAGGGAGCTTATTATTTGGGCTGTAGGCTCCCTCCCCTCCCTTCCCCCCACCGCATGAGCACGCATGCCAGCACCCCCCCCCAACTTGCCGCTGTTTCCACTATGTTCAAAATCCCCCAAGTACTGTCCAAAAATCGTTGGTTGGGGCGGGGGAGTGCTGGCAGAAGCTGTTTGTTTGCTTGTTTGTTTGTTTTCCTCGGTTGTTTTTGTTGTTTTCTGTTCATGTTCTTTCTGTTGTTTTTTGTGTTTTCTTTGCCCCGCCTCCGGGTTGTGATTTGTTTGTTTGTTTGTTTGTTTGTTTGTTTGTTCAACATGGTGATTGCATTGATGTGTGCACCTGCGATCGATTTGGGGCGAGCATTTGTGTGTGTTTGTGTGTGTGGTCTGTGTGTCTGTATGTCTGTGTGTTTGAGCGTCTTTGTGTCTGTGTGTCTGTGTGTCTGTGTGTCTGTGTGTTTGTGTGTCTGTGTGTCTGTGTGCCTGTGTGTCTGCGTGTCTGCGTGTCTGTGTGCTTGTGTGTGTGTGGTTCTGTGTGTTTCTGTGTGTTTCTGTGTGGTGTGTGTTTCCGTGTTTATGTGTTTATGTGTTTCTGTGTTTCTGTGTTTCTGTGTGTCTGTGTGCTGTGTTTCTGTGTTTTTGTGTGTCTGTGTGTCTGTGTGCCTGTGTGTCTGCGTGTCTGCGTGTCTGTGTGCTTGTGTGTGTGTGTGGTTCTGTGTGTTTCTGTGTGTTTCTGTGTGGTGTGTGTTTCCGTGTTTATGTGTTTATGTGTTTCTGTGTTTCTGTGTGGTGTGTTTCTGTGTGGTGTGTGTGTGTGTGTCTGTATGTGTGTCTGTGTCTGTGTGTGTGTGTGTCTGTGTGTGTGTGTCTGTGTGTGTCTGTGTGTCTGTGTGTCTGTGTGTCTGTGTGTGTGTCTGTGTGTCTGTGTGTCTGTGTGTCTGTGTGTCTGTGTGCGTGTCTGTGTGTCTGTGTGTCTGTGTGTCTGTGTGTCTGTGTGTGTGTGTGTGTCTGTGTGTCTGTGTCTGTGTCTGTGTCTTGTGTCTGTGTTTATCCCTGTGTCTGTCCCTGTGTCTGTCCCTGTGTCTGTCCCTGTGTCTGTCCCTGTGTTTCTGTGTGTGTTTTTTCTGTGTTTATGTGTTTATTGTGCGTGTGCTTGTGTTTGTGTTTGTGTGTGTGTGTGTGTGTGTGTGTGCGTTTGAGCTTATGTTTGTGTTTGCGTTTGAGCTTGTGTGTGCGTGTGTTTCTGTGTGTTTGTGTGTTTCTGCGTTTCTGTGTTTATGTGTTTATTGTGCGTGTCCTTGTGTATGTGTTTGTTTTTGCGTTTGCGTTTGTGCTTGTGTGTGTGTGTGCTTGTGTTTGTGTGTGTGTGATGTGTGTGTGTGTATGTGTATGTGTATGTGTGTGTGTATTTCGGGGTGTTTGGGGGTGGGCTCGCTCTAAGCTTGAGCTTGTATTTGTGTGTTTCGTTTGTTTTGTTTCAAGTAAGGTCGAATTTTGTGCAGTGAGCGGAGTGGGCATTGTGGTGTCATTTGCGGTGTGTTGTTTGCCCGGGAGTTAGAGTCGATGTTTTGGTTCCTATTTTGTGTGGTTCTCGGATTGCTTTGCTTCCCTTGACCGCGGAAGCCAGGCATGGCCCAAGAGCGAAACGATCGCCGAGCGAGCCGAGGTATCTTTGAGGAAGCGGAGTTGGGCCTAGCCTTGAGGGGCGCTCTGCACCAGGCTTTTTTCGTCGCGTTGGGGAGGGGGCGCGTTTTTTGTTCCTTGGGAAGGGGGGGAGGTGTCTCCTTTTGGGCCAAAAGGATAAGGAGACTTGCATCGCCTTTTGCAGATGCATGATCCTGCTCCAATCAGCTCTGTTGTCGGAGACCGGGTAAAGTCCTCAGGGGTGCCAGCACAAAAAAGACACATGTGCCACACACACACACACACGCACGGAACAAACGGAGGGGTCCGCCAGCTGAAGGCAAACCCAAAATGACCCTTGGCTCCCCCTGCTGTTTGGATTTGTGGTTTGGTGATTTGAACCCCTGGTTTTTCAAGAGGGTAAATGGGAAACCCGTCCCCAAACCACCATCCAAAAAGAGTGTCATCTTCCGGAACCCTCCTGTCAGCTTCCACGATTGTCGGAGGAAGGGTAAACTTTTGGGGACCACCTTCTTAGTAGCAAATGTATATATATATATATTATATTTGCCAATCCATTGAGGAAATCAGCTCAAGGGGACGCCATACATTCCGCCACCCATTGCTTTGAGACGAGGTGCTGCCACCTATGGCTTCAAAACCCCGCCAGGTGGATGCTGTGGGCATGTCTTCCGCCAGAATTGCAAAGAGCTTTGCAGCGCCGCCGCTCCTGGGCTTGCGCACCAACAAAAAACCTTTGCTTCTTGTTTCAGCGGTTGTTCTTTCGATTTTGGACTTTGCAAATATGATTTTTCACCAGTTGTTCGTTTGCTTTTGACGGAGCAAACGCTGATGTGTGTTGGCACTCGGCTTCCGTCTGGCTCCGCTGCCATGTTCAAGCCAGCGCCCTTGGGGCGGGAGCGAGCCAAGAAAGGCTACGGCGCGATGGTTTCGTATCGGCCGGCCCTGTGAATGCCTGGCGAGCCCCGCAGGCAGGAGAAAAGCAAAGACCGCACCACAGGTTGCGGGAAAATTCTAGCAACCTCACGCAGTGTGATTCTTTCACCCAAAAACGACAGACAGGTTGCTCTCAGAGGCGCCTTGCTTTTGGCTGAAGTAGTATGGTTTACGCAGGGCTTTTAGAGTGTTAGTGGCAGGCATTCTCCAGTTTTGCCAAGCCTGTGCGGTTGGGGGTGGTGGAATCCTGGCGGGGGCATCCCTGCGAGCTCCACGAATGTGTTTGTTTTGAGGCTGCCCTTTGTGGGTTGGTGTAAAGGACATGTCATGAGCAACCGCTCAGCAAGGCCTCCCCCAAATATATCCAGATTCACTCAAACTTGAAATGGTTTTCCAATTTCCTGTCAACCTGCAGGAGAGTAACAAAGCAGGGTTACAACCCCCTATCCCTGGTTTTTGCCAGGTTTACGACCAGTGTTTTTGGGGTTTTATGTCACACTGTTTCTACTCTTGGCCCGCGTCGCATTTCAAACCGAGCCGCCTCTGTTGGTTTGTCTGTCTGTTTGTCTGTCTGTCTGCCTGCCTGTCTGTCTGTCTGTCTGTGCGTGCGTGCGTGCGTGGGTGTGTGGGTGCGTGGGTGCGTGGGTGCATGCGTGCATGGGTGCGTGGGTGCGTGGGTGCGTGGGTGCGTGTGTGTGTGTGTGTGGGTGTGTGCGTGTGTGTGTCTGTGTGTCTGTGTGTCTGTGTGTCTGTGTGTCTGTGTGTCTGTGTGTCTGTGTGTCTGTGTGTCTGTGTGTCTGTGTGTCTGTGTGTCTGTGTGTCTGTGTGTCTGTGTGTCTGTGTGTCTGTGTGTCTGTGTGTCTGTGTGTCTGTGTGTCTGTGTGTCTGTGTGTCTGTGTGTCCTGTGTGTCCTGTGTGTCTGTGTGTCTGTGTGTCTGTGTGTCTGTGTGTCTGTGTGTCTGTGTGTCTGTGTGTCTGTGTGTCTGTGTGTCTGTGTGTCTGTGTGTCTGTGTGTCTGTGTGTCTGTGTGTCTGTGTGTCTGTGTGTCTGTGTGTCTGTGTGTCTGTGTGTCTGTGTGTCTGTGTGTCTGTGTGTCTGTGTGTCTGTGTGTCTGTGTGTTTGTGTTTGTTTTTGCTTGCGTCTCTGCATGTGTGTGGGCGTGCGCGCGTGCATGCGTGTCTCGCTGTTTGTGCGCGTCTGATCCTACGTGTCTGCATGCGTTTGCACCTTTCGCGCTATGCTTCCAAGTTTGTGTGTGGGTGTTTGTGTCTGCGCCTCTGTGGTTGTCTCTGGGTGCCATTTTATCCTTCTGCCCCCGTGGGTTTCTGTCCCTTTGCGTCTCAGTATGTGTTCCCATGTCGTTAGCTTGTGTGTGTGTGTGCGTGCCTTCGTGTGCCGGTGTCTCTCCATGCCTCCGTGTGTCGGTGTGCATTGCCAGCATCTACGCGGCGCCTCTGTGACGCTTCTGCCTTTGTGCGCGTGCGTCTGTGCCCTGCTTGCCTCTGTGTCACTTTGTGCCTGCCTGCGTCACTGTTTGTACTGCACTTGTAGTTTGTGCCCGTTCCCGTATATAAACCAAGCAGGTGGGACATGGCGTTTCAAAAAACGAGGTCTGAAGGCCTACCGGGGCCCAGTTGCTCAAAATCCTCACTGGCAAGTCCCTTTGAGGCGTTTGTTTGTTTGTTTGTTTGGTTGGTTTTTTGTTTGTCTGGTTGTTCGTCTTTTTGTTTGTTTATTTGTTTGGTTGGTTGTTCGTTTGTTTTTGTTTTTCTTGTTTGGTTGTTGTGTTTTTGTGGACGCATGTTCCGTTTATTTGGGGGGTCCATGTGCACAACGGGAGGCTTCGCTCGTTTCATTGCCCATGGCTTCGCTCGGCTTCGCTCGCAGGCCCTCGGAGTGGCAAGTGCCCTCCATCAGCTCCTGCTGCAGGGCCATCAGCCTTTGCCGGAGAAGCGACCCAGTTGCCATCGGCATCCCATAGGTTTCGATGTGTTTCTTTTGTTTTTTTTTGTTTGATGCCTGTTTATTTGTTTATATGTATATTTTATACATGTATTTTCTGATACTCTGCTGTTTATTTCCTGTGTTACATTGTATTCGTGCATGTCTTTCTGCATGTGCATTTATGTTTGGGGGTTTGCTTGCGTGCGTGGTTGTTTAGTTGTGTGCTTGTCTATGTGTGTGTATGTGTATGCGTGTTTGCTTGTTTGTCTGTATGCATGTATGTATGTATGCATTCATGTATGTATGTATGCATGTATGTATGTATGCATGTTTGTTTGTTTGTGTGTTTGTATGCTTGTTGGTTTGTATGATTGCTTGTGTGTTTAGTTGTGTGTTTATTTATCCGTATGTATGTTTGTGTGTTTGAATGTTTGGTTTGTTTCATTGGTTGCCTGTTTGCTTGTTTGTTTGTTTGTGTGTGTTTCTTGTTTGTCTTGTTTGTCTTGTTTGTCTTGTTTGTCTTGTTTGCCTTGTATGTACGTGGGTGTGTTTGTTTTGTTTGTTTGGTTGCTTACTTGTTTTATTTTTGTGTGTGTGTGTGGTTGTTTGTTTGTCTGTCTGTTTTTTGTTTGTTTGTTTGTTTGTGTTTGCTTGTTTGTGTAGTGCGTGTGTTTGTTTGTCTATGCTTGGTTGTTTGTTCGCTTGTTGATGTTGTTTGTTTGTTGTTTGCTTTGTTTGCTTGTGTGTTTGTCTTTTTACTTGCTCGCTTGCTGGCTTGATTTGTTTGTTCTGTTAGTTCGTTTGCTTGTTGATTGGTTGCTCGTGTGTTTGCTTGGTTCTTTGGCTGTTTGGCTGCGATGTTTTGCTTGTTTGATTATTTGTTTGTTTGCTTGTTTGCTTGCTTGCTTGCTTTGTTTTGTTGTTTTGATTTGTTTTTCTTTGTTTGCATTGTTTGTTTGCTTGATGGTTTGGTTGTTTTGTTGGTTGGTTGCTTGCTTGGTTCCTCGTTTGCTTGCTGGCTTGGTTGCTCGCTCGCTCGCTTGCTTGCTCGCTTGCTTGCTTGCTTGATTGCTTGCTTGCTCGTTTTACTCGTTTTGCTTGTTTTGCTTGTTTTGTCCGTTTGTGTGTTTGGCTTTTCGTCATTTGCTGCCTCTGGAGAGCCAGTACTTAGTTGAGGAAGTTGAGAGCAGAGTAACGAACCCCCATTTCCGTTTCCCCTATGTGGGGTTCCTTGAGGAACCACTCCACAAGGGGTGTTTGAGGAGAAGCCAGTTGCAACCAGCTCCTTGTCTTGATTGTCTTCTCGTCCTGTAAACAGGATGCACGGCCCCAGCTCCTTCTGCAGCAGAATGGGAAGATGCGCCGCTAAACCTCCACTCCACACCACTGAGTAGGATACATTGGGCGTCAGGCGAGGACTGGCAAGGTGCCATCGCCTTGGTCTCGGAGGCACAAGACGCTGGGCTAAGCAAAGGTCGGTTTCTCGCACGTTGGTTCGACTCGAAGGGTCTCCATTGTTCGCATAGCAACATCAAAAGGCCTGGCCGAGCTTAGCCCCATGTTCTAAATTCGCCCAAAGTCGACCCCTTGCAGATACCAGGTATCCTCACACCATGGCACACATGTTTCGCACGTAATTACATGGAGACATGACATACAAGGTCATGCAAGTAACCCTTGCTTTGCCACCACTGTGACTGCCTCTCGAACATGTGTTTTTCACCAAGCAGGCAGTTCTGAGTTGCAACCTACGCGAAGCAGGCACCAACCCATTGAACACGTGTGCGTTCCTTGTGACAATCAGTGTTTCTCAAAATCAGCGACTCGTCCAGGTGGTTTGCTTGGGACTTCCCTCACAAACCCTCCAAGGGCGCGGGGTGTGAGACATGCCCAGAACTTGTTCACCTTGTTTTGAGCAAGTTTGCCGTGCTGCCCAACAAAGTCGCATTGGTGTCGGGGTGTGCGCCTCTGTGACAAGAGGGGGCTCATGCATTTCCTGCCCCACTGACAAACTACTCATAAAGCAAACAAGTCATGGCAACTGCGCAACAAGGAAAAATAAAAGGATGCCCGCTGTAAAATCAAAGCAGACGAAGCCTGATAGTGGTTTCTTTTCAAAGATGTTCCTTTTCTGAAGCTTCTGATTATGGTCCCGAATCAAAGTATGTTGCCTGCTTTGGCGGAAACGCTGAGCTAAAAGTTGCTTTGTAGACAATGCAGTGGGAAACCCCTGTTGATTATTCAAGGGAATCTATCACTTCCGGCAAGTGGAAGGGATCCCAGTAAACTTAAGAGATAGATTCCCTTGGGACAATCAACTTTTCTGGAAGCCCCCTAAGATAATTTTTATATTCTTTGTTTTCCCCTGTTGATTATGCAAGGGAACCTATCACTTCCAGCAATATGTTTTTTCTTTTCCAGGGAACGTATTTGCAAATGGAAGCTAGGCCCCCCAGTAGTGCCCGTTTACCGTTTCTTTTTTGGTTGGGAGGGTTCCCCTAAAATAGACGAAACAAAAAGAAAATCGGGTACCAACTTAATCTAACCTCTTACTGGAGGACCAAAGTGGGTAATGTTGAGCCCATATTCAACCCCAGTTTATTAATAGGGTGTGGGTTTAGTGGATCATCACTTTTGGCAGGGTGCCTAGGACCTAGGAAGAGCCTAGTTGGTCATGGTGGTTGTTGGGAAACACCTTACATTTTTGCTTATGGTGGTTTAGTGGTTGAAATCCAACCACTTAACTGCTTATTTTTGAGAATTTTTGCTCCCCAAGCCCGACGTCAACCAAGTAGTACTGTGGATGGGCGAACTCCTGCACCACTTGGAAACCATGAGAAACCATTGTGCATTGGTATTTACAGGGGAATCATCATTCCATGGTTTCTTGGGTGGTGCAGGATTTCGCCCATCCACACTGTGGATGGACGAAATCCTGCACCACCTAAGATTCTCTGGAATGATGATTATTCTAAAGTAGTGCCGGATTTTGTCCATCCACAGTAGGTCCGTGTTTTCGGGCCGTTTTCGCCGAGTCCGCCGCCGCCGGGTCCGAGGCCGGGGGTTTGGGCGGCGGCGCCATCGTGGCCAGCGCCGGCGTCAGCGCCTGCGGCCCGCGCTGGCGCGCGGCGCTGGCCTTGGCGGAGCCATGGCAGGCGGAGGGTCGCTTCGATTCACGGCCGCTGCGGGGGCGGTTCCAAGGGGCGGGCGCCGTTTTTTTGTTGTTTGTTTTGGTTTGGGGGGGGGTTGCTTCTTTGGTTCATGGGCTGCCAAAACGGTTTTTGGGAGTGTTTGGTTTGGGGGGGGTGCTTCTTTGGTTCATGGGCTGCCAAAACTGTTTTTGGGAGTGTTTGTTTTGGTTTGGGGGGGGGTTGCTTCTTTGGTTCATGGGCTGCCAAAACGGTTTTTGGGAGTGTTTGGTTTGGGGGGGGTGCTTCTTTGGTTCATGGGCTGCCAAAACTGTTTTTGGGAGTGTTTGTTTTGGTTTGGGGGGGGTGCTTCTTTGGTTCATGGGCTGCCAACAGATTTTTTTGGGGAGTGTTGCCAAAAGTGTGCGGACATCTATAGATTTGGGTGTGGCTCAAAAGTGCACAGGAGGGGCAAACCGCAGGTTTTAGTCCACGTTTCCACTTACCAGTGCTCCATTTTGGTACCGTGTTATTGAGCCACAGCCATATGTAAACACATATATATATATATATATATATGTGTTTATGTATAAATATATATATATATATATATATATGTAGTGTGGGTTGGTTTGTGACTCACTTCCTGAGTTCATCCGTTTGCGGAAATGGTCTATTTTTTGGATCATTTCTTGAGTGCATGGACTGCCAAGACTTTTTGGGAAGACCGTTTTATTTTAGTGGGTCCGCAACAAGTTTGTGGACTTTTTCTGGCCAATCCACTCAGTTGAGTATCTGAAAGGAAAACCAAAAGGCACAAAGTACAGTTTTGGGGGTCCCCTAAAAAACAGACACCCAAATTGATGGTGCCCAAGCCGATCCATTTGGTTGAACTCGTGTTCAACCCAGTGGAGTCTGCGTGGAGTCGTGTCAGTCGTGGAGCCCAAAGCCAGCCAGCCGGATGGACCATCCACAGCCAAACGGGGAAACACGAAACAACCAATGGAGACTGGAGCCTTGGAAACCGATGGGGCTCAGGTTTGTAGAACTATGACGTTGGGACACTTCAAGTCACTCTCGCGCTGAACGCGGTTAACGGCAAAGACGAACTTACCAAGTGTTGCCCAATGTCATTTTGAGACCAGAAGGTTTGCAGTGGGCCCACTAATAGTCATTACATGTTGGACCTTGTTAGTGTTGGTTGGAAGCTAGATCGCATCATGCTTTGGTGATCCATGGGGGGCAACAGTTGATGCCGGCCGTTCTTGCTAGTTTGCTTTCTCAAGTTGCCCTGGAATTACTGTCTTGCCCAGTGGCATCCTTTGCACCTTTGGTGTGGGTGTCACTCCAAAAGAAACATTGCAGAACCGGTGCCGTTTTGTGCCCCGAAAGTGCATGGAGGGTCTCGTGGGACTATAAGAGCCGCGGAGATGTGTTCAAGTTAATGCGTTTTTGTTTCTGCTCATTTTTAGTGTGGGCTGCACAATACTCCCCTGCAGATGCACGTAGCGTCCGAAGACCTCCGCTTTTTGGAGTTTCTCCTTCTGGGGGACCCCTTTCGGGGTATTTAGGATCACTTGCGGGGGGCAGCTGATTTTCGGCACAGGCGGACGTGGTGGTTTGCAACGGCGTGATGAGTGCCTGTCACAAGGGCGCTCAGTGGCACGCAGCCCTGGACATCTTCCATCACCTCGGTGCGAACCGCTTGGAGCCCACGGTGGTCACCCGGGGTGCTGCCATGAGCGCGCCGCAGCAGCGATAGGGAGAAGTGACCCAGGACCTCCAGTGGTGCTCCTTTCGTGTTTTTTTGGAGTGGGGTTCCGATTTTTGCGGAGGGGGGTTCCTTCAAAACAAACAACGAGCGCAAAGAGGTGCCTTTTTCCATGGCGACTGGAGGCATGGAAATTGATGGAGGGTTTTCCTTTAAAAGGGGCCTTCGTGGTAGAGTCCTTAATCTCTGTTAGTCCCCAGTTTACCCACGCTTGATCGCCTCAAAGGCTTTGTGCCTAGGTTTGCTTTTGATTCATTCAGCTTGCACCCACGACATCTATGCTGCGCATTGCTTGGTGCACCCTGGGTGTGTCCAAGGGTAAGTGCGTCGCTCCTGAACGCTGGCAAAACCATCGCTTCAGAACGCTGAAACAAAATCGCTTCGGAACGCCGGAAAACGTACTAATCGCTTCGGAACGCTGGAGGTGGAGCCACGTGCCACGCGCAGCACCGAGACACCGGCCCAGAACCAGATTAATTTGCACATTTGGGGATAGAGCTTCAACGGGTGTGCTTATCATGCCCCCCCCCCCCCACCCCACCCCCCACCTTTGGGGATAGAGCTTCAGCGGGTGTGCTTATCATGCCCCCCCCCCACCCCACCCCCCACCCCCAGAACCAGATGAATTTGCACATTTGGGTATAGAGCTTCAGCGGGTGTGCTTATCATGCCCCCCCCCCCCACCCCACCCCCCACCCCCAGAACCAGATGAATTTGCACATTTGGGGATAGAGCTTCAGCGGGTGTGCTTATCATGCCACCCCCCCCACCCCATCTCCCACCCTCAGAACCAGATGAATTTGCACATTTGGGTGTAGAGCTTCAGCGGGTGTGCTTATCACCCCCCCCCCACCCCCCCCAGAACCACTAGATTTTGCACACCTGGGCTGGGACGCCTGCCTGCGTACGGAAGTGATCCTGGGCTGGGACGCCTGCGTTCGGAAGTGATCTTTTTGACTGGCCGGGTTTTGCAACCCTTTCGGCGTTCCGGGTGCTCAGTGTTTTGAAGTGATTTTGTTTTAGTGTTCGGAAGTGATCGAAAGTGGCAGCGTTCACAAGTGATTTTTTTTAGTGTTCTGAAGTGATTGTCTACCTGTCCAAGAGTCAGTTTGTTCACCATGGATGCACGCATTTGCCAAATGGAACGGTTGCGGCAAGAAACCTCCATGGGTTGTGATTTCTCTATGTTTCCCTTTGCCCCCCCCCCCCAACAAAAAAAGAAGTGTATCCGCACATCCGCCCAGAGAGTATCCCCCAACAGCCGCCGACAATTCCCAGGAAGGACCCAAAGTCCTTGGACTTTTCCAGTTGCGATGTTCCCATCATTTTTCCTCACCTACATCACCCCCGGGGAAATTGAACCTGGGGATATAACAAGGGATAAAATGAGCGTGCAAGTGTGTGTGATGGTTGGGGATGTGGCTGCTTGTGCTGTTTGAGCTGCATCCCTCCACAGCTTTCTGATATTTTTGAATCCTTGGTGAACAAATTGCACAGCAAACAAACAGCACATTTTCCCTAGGATGTGAGCGGGTCATCGTGTTCAACCTACTTAGTGAGTAGGAGTGTTGGTCCCAGCCCTGGGCCACGGTGTATAAGTCCACCAACTTTCCGGTTGTTCCACTTATAGCCTTATGAAGATCCACCTCTCAATCTAGGACACCGGCTCCACCTCTGTTTTTTGGAAGAAGAGTAGTTCAACAAAGCTAATACAACAGAAGAAACCGGTTGGATGCTGTTTTTGTGGATCCACCTTGAGAATAGCATTAAGAGTGCTTCAAAAGTTTGACCAACAGAGTTACTACTAAACGACTGGTGCTAACTGGTGCAACAACTGGCAACACTTTCCACCGAAAACGCCTCCAAACCGTTGCGTTGTCAACCGCTTTGCGTCGAAGTAGTTTGCATTTAATCTACAAATGCTGCGCATTTTTCGGCTGTGTCAGCAGACTCCATGTCTTACCTGCACCAGGTTAACTGCATCCAATCCGACTCCAGGCCAGCACCATGTTAACTGCCTCCAATCCAGGGTTGTGGGATCAAGGGGTTTATCCCCACTTCTGTGATACAAGGGAATCTCCCCCCCACTTGGGGCGTTAGTCTTTGTGGTTAGGCCCTTTTTTGTTGTATCACAGAAGTGGTCATTTCCCACAGCCCTGCTCTCCGTTTGGACTCCAGGCCGCCAGCCGGGGCAGCTTGTGGCCATGCGCCCTGTCCCTCTTCGACGCCGGCAGTCTGGTGGCCTGGGGGGCGGCGCTCAGCGCCTGCGAAGCGGCCAGAGACTGGCGCCGGGGGCTGAAAATGCTGCGAAGCCTGCAGGAGACCCGGGGAGAAGATGCTGGAGCCAGCGGATTTTTTTGGGGGGGGTGGTTGGGCCCACATTTGTTTGGTGTTTTTTTTTTGTGTGTTTTTTTTTTTTTTTTGGGGGGGGTGTGGAGCTCAATGTTCTCCTTTTGGGGCGGACAGGGGGGGGGGGGTTGGAATATCGCCTTTTCGTGCCAAGGGTGCTCATGTTTTTTGGTTTTTGAGGGCTGAACAACAAATCCAAATCGAGGTGACAGAAGGTCATGCTCACAGCCCTGCGAGAGGGGCTGCAGAAGGGATGGGGGGGGACATGTGTGGGATTGAGGCGTTTTGTGGCGATTGGGGTGTGCTGCATGCTGATGTTTGTTTGGATTCGGGGTGTGGTGGATGTTGGATCTCGGCTTGGTGCACATTGACATTTCGGTTTGGGCACATCAGCTAGTTTCCGATACCGACGTGTGCAACATTTACAGCTTTGTGACAACCAGAAGGGTGTCATGCCATTTGAAAAAACAACAAAGGTTTGCAAGCCGGAGATGTCAGGAGACAAGGCTGCAGCTGAACTTGAGTCTTGGATGCAAGACCTCGAGGGGAGGCAGTCAATCGCAAGTCGGACGGCCAGAAAAAAAATATAAATAATAATAATAATAAAAAACAACATGCTCCCCAAACGCCCAACATGCACAACATACAATACAGCCAGCATGTCCCTCAGACATGCCAAGTGCAAAAAAGAACCCCTCATGGTGTCTTTGTTGTGCTTCTCCCAGTGGGTGTTGACTCCTTTATGGCTATTTGGTTGGACTTTAACTTTGTGGTTGAACCAGGGGATGTTGCTTTGGACCCACAAAACGTTAAACTTCTTGTAGAGGGTCAGAAGCAGCCAAGGATAGAGTTATTCGTCTATATGCTCCAGTTTATGAAGGCATTCCGTTTCTCAAGATTGAGCAAGAACAACCACCTGTCAAGGTCCTGTGACCTGCACGCGCGGTCTTGGTTGCGGCGCGCATGGGCTTGGCTCGAACCTCCTATTTCAGCTGAGGTTCGACTAAACCAACCATGTGTGACGTGTGAATGAGGGCATGTGCTCGCAGGGCCCCGCTCTGCACTAGAACAACCTCTTTCGTTCTTACTCCAGTTGGCTTTCCCCTCTGAAAGGGCAAATGCAGATGTCCATGTCCATATGTGTATATATTCATATTCGAGTGTGAACCCTTCCTTAGCTTGTTCTGGCCCAAATACAGAGCAGGTCACCCGAGGCATAATGGCAAAATGTGGGTAATTCACGTATTTAATTCTGAATGAAACATGGTGGCTAAGCAGTTGAAACCACCTTCACCATCTTTTTTTCTTTACGTGTGCCAAGTGATTTTCTGGTGAATCCAGAGGGGCCCTGCTATATCGATGTGTAAGTGGTACCAAATGCGAAGTCACGTTTCTCTACTGGGAAGCCAAATGTTTGGAAGGATAGGGACCCTCATGCATCTATGTGCAAGCGGTACCTGTATTTTCGCAAATGCGCAGGTTTTGTTCCCGCTGGGAAAGCATGTCTGAGCCAGGATCATCTACAACACGGCCATCAGCATTTGCGAGAAGTCGGCCATGTGGGTCTTGGCTCTGCAGCTCCTGGTGGAAGTGGAGACCCTTCTGGGGGCAGACGAGATCAGCGGCTCGGCCTTGACTTCGAAAAAGACCGGATTGGTCAGGGGTCAGGGATTTGTTTTATACAGGGAACCACCTCACAAGTGATTGCTGGACATAAATCCCCACCTAAATGATGTCTACCGAAGGGTCCCTTATTAGAACGCCTAAGAACCTCTGGAATGATGGTTGCCCTGTAAAAACCGTCGAACAATGGTTGGTGTCATTGTTTCAAAGTGGTACGAAATGGACTTCATCCATCCGCAGTATCATTTGCACACACATTGGGATGAATTTCGCCCATCCACAGTATGGGTGTGTCTTTTTGAAGGGTAACCTGTTTG